CAAACCAACCAACCAACCTAATTACATTCTCCCTCTCCCCCCAAAAAATCTTTAAAAAATGAAATAAACATTAAAAAAAAGCATACAAAACCACCCTAGATTGAAAACTATCATAGACTTACTTCCACTATTATCTAAGAAAACTTTCAATCAGATAATTTAAAGGCAATACTGAATACAAATAAAATCAGGATTTTACACAGTTCCTCAGTTACAGCACTTCATTTTCTTATAATGGATAAGAAAAATAAATTACTGTACATGCCTTATAACAGATTGATTAAAAAATATACTGTGGAAACTCCTTTCATAGCCAAATTTTGCAGCCAAAAATCAAATTCCGAGCCTGAAATTTTTAAACCAGGACCCATTCAGAGTATTCCAAGAATAGTTCTCAAACTGCTGAGAAGCATCATTTCCATAATTTTATCTTGGAAACGGATTTTAAAAATTAGCAAGTTTGCGAGAGCCGTACACAAACTCATCAAGTTATTGTGCTGTTTGTTTTTTTTACTTTTAAAATATAATTTATCAATTCATTTGACAAATATTTATTGAAATATTTATTTGAAATATTTATTTATTGACAAATATTTATATGCAGGCACTGATCTAGGTGACAGAGTTACAGCAGTGAAAACACAGGCCAAAAACATATAATAATACATCAATATATGCTTATCATTAACATTCAGATACAGAAGCATATAGAATTAAAAAAATCAAGGTTGTTCTCCTGAAGGTCTGCTCCATCTCAGTTCTTCTTTCGTAATAACTACTGTTAAGTTTAGTGCATTTTCCTCCAGACTTTTTGTTCATTTACAAAGACTCCCTTACATAGGATTTTTAAAACAGCCTGACTGAGGTATAACATACAGACTGTATAGATGCATATACATACTATAAAATTCATTTGTGTAAAGTGTACAATTCAGTAACTTTTAGTATATTTGCAGGTTACAAAGATTACTTAGACTAAGTGGATTTTAAAATTATAAATACATATAATATTTATAATTTATTTTAAAATCCACTTACCTAAATTACAGTGATATACAGATATATGTATATGTAACTTTCATTTTTCAGTTAGTACTAAACTTCGATGTTCTCTCAGTGTCAGCATAGACAGATCTGTGATTACTTTCTACAAAGAGAGGAATGTGTCCTAGCTCTGTCTCCCTTGTTAGAGTCCTTAAAAAAAGGATGCTAAAAGACAGCAATTAGGTAGGGCTGATTATGGCAACCTTGTGATTTCAATAGACAAAGAGAAGTTAGTTCATTTACAAAAAGTCTTAAAAGTCCAAAATGAACTGGGGAAAAAAAGGTCTAGAAAATATTTTAAAACACAAAAAAATGGTAATTTTGAAATAATAACATTGATAGCTAACAGTTATTTAACCTTTACTTTTACTATGTGCAAGGCATTGTTCTAAAAGCTTAACACACAGTAGCTCTTTTTTTAAAAATAATTTTTATTTATTATTGTTTTTTAAACTTTTTCTTTTAATCGAAGTACTGGGGATTGAACCCAGGATTCTATCACTGAGCTATACCCCACCCCCCAACTCCACACACAGTAACTCTTTAAGTCCTCACAATTCCATGAAATATTTACTGCTATCATACCCATTTTACAGACACAGAAACTGAGGCACAAGAGATCAGGTAATTTGTCCACTAAACTAATAAGCTGCAATGAGGCAGAGTTGGGCTTCACATCCAGGCAGACTGGCTTCAGAGTCCACATTCTTAGCTGATTTGATGGAATGTTGGGGTGAGGGGTTGGGTGGTGCAGGACAGGGAGTGGTTTAGGATAAAAGTGAGATAAAGGAGATAAAGGGCTTAGCATAGGGCCTGGCTTCTAGTGAGCACACAATAAAAACAAACAAAAATAAATTTTAAAAAATAAATAAAGTAAAATAAAATAAAATAATTATATTCTGTGCTATATCTTTTAGGCAGAATGTTTCTCCATGATTAGAAAAGTAACATTTCTGTTTGCCAGCCTAAGGGTTTGTTTAAGTAGCTGTCCTCATTTGGTGCTGTTACCATTCTGCAGGGTGACTGATGCTGCTCGGTTTCTTGGGGACCCTCCCAGGTGTGATACACAGGTGCTACGAAGGTAAAGGAGACCACAGCTGAGCCCAAGGAGCTTGTAGCAGGGAAGACAACAGTGTGCTGTAGAGACTGATGCTGTGGGAGCCACCAGTGGAGAAATCAGAATGATTCAGAGGCAATAAGGTCAGTTTCCAGGAAGGAAACCTTGAGATACAAGTTGAGAGGTAGTCAGATCTCGAGTAATCTTAAATGGCTCTTAAGAAAATTGGGTTTTATCCTGAAGAAAATGCAGAGCTACTGAGAAGGTGGAATGGAGTAGGGAGGCCTGGAGGGGACACCTGGGAGACTGAATGTGAATGGCTCCACCCAAGCCTGGGACACACGCTCCACCCAAAATATCTGTTGTTGTTGCTAGCTGGTTCCTTATCTTTTGACTCATAAACTTGTCTTCAAGTTTCTCCATTACAATGTGGTCTCAACTGAAAATAAGCTCTTATATCGCAGATTTGTCTTGCATGCTTCTTACTGTGAAGCATCTTTTCAGGGCTAGAGAAGCTCTAGTCACTTGTTTTTAAAACATCAGAGGCCTATGAAACAGCTGGACAAAAAAGGGTTTTCGAGACACCCAAGGGGGTGATTTAAAAACAAATACTACAACCAGCAACTCCGTCACATCAAAGCCGCAGCTGGGGTGGAAAGAACTTAGTCCAGGGGAAGGTCTGGGTTAGGTTTGCAGCAACTTCCTTACAATCAGGGTCACCCTTTCTAATCCACAACAGAGATAAAGGAAGGTGCCCTTCACAAGCATGCTCAGATGGAAGGAATGAATTCTGATTAAAACCAAGGAGGGAGTGGGAGAGT